CGGCCGACGAACTCACGAGCTACGCCCCCGGGAGAATAGAGACTCCATCCCCAGAAGGTCCAGCAGTTTTGGAGACGTTTCGGAGCCGCTCAGGTAGACCTGTTTGCCTCTCCAAAAACCTCTCACTGCCAGTTGTTCTACTCCCTGACCGAGGGAACACTCGGCACGGACGCACTGGCACACAGCTGGCCGCGGGGCCCGTGCAAGTATGTGTTTCCTCCAGTGAGCCTTCTCGCACAGACGCTGTGCAAGGTCAGGGAGGACGAGGAGCAGGTCCTGCTTGTGGCGCCGTATTGGCCCACTCGGACCTGGTTCCCCGAAATAATCCTCTTTGCGACAGCCACTCCCTGGCAGATTCCATCTGAGTAAGGATCTACTGACTCAGAGACGGGGCACCCTGTGGCACCCAGACCTTCCAGACCTCTGCGAACTTCATGTCTGGTCCGTGGACGGGACACGGAGGTTCTTGGTGACCTACCCCAAGAGGTAGTTGACACCATCACTTCAGCGAGAGACCGTCTACGAGACACGCCTACGCTTTGAAGTGGAACCTGTTCGTTGAGTTAAGGTTAAATCCTCCTCGGCCCTCCTCTATACCCTCTTGGGACATGTCTCTACTGCTCAAAGCACTACAGTAGGGCCCATTTGAGCCTTTGCAGTCAGTCGAGCTAAAGTTTCTTTCAATGAAAACTCTGCTCCTGATTGCACTGGCCTCCATCAAGAGGGTAGGAGACCTGCACGCATTTTCGGTCGACGATTCTTGCCTAGAGATTGGGCCAGCTTACTCCCAGGTAATCCTGAGGCCCCGGCCCGGCTATGTGCCCAAGGTTCCCACTACTCCCTTCAGGGATCAGGTGGTGAGCCTACAAGCACTGCCCCCGGAGGAGGCAGACCCAGCCCTATGACAACAGTGACTGGTCTTCTTGTTGCGAGCCCCGGCCTACACCACAAAGGGGCGCAGGCGGCTCGCACAGGACACTGGAAGGGGCAACATCCATGGCGCATTGGTAGGGATCCTAATTCGTCGGTCACCGACGTGACTCGGTGTGACCGACTGAAAGGGAACGTCTCGGTTACGTATGTAACCCTCGTTCCCTGAAGGAGGGAATGGAGACGTCACGTCCCGTCGCCTCAGCTGCTGTACCACCGCTGAGCGGCCGGGTCACCGGCTCGGATCCTCAGCGAAAACCTGGTATGCTTTGCACCGGCTGCCTTTTTATGCTCACGCTGTGATCAGCGGCAGTTTGATGCAATCATCGCATGCCAATGTGCATTGGCTCGTTTAGTTTACACTCGAAGTAGATTGGTCGTTCGCTAGATTCTATAGCTTCCGTGTGGAGCCGGTATCCTACTGTGTTCTCACCTCAAACGGGTAGAGGCGCTGAGAGACCCCGGTTTAGTGTCGGCTTGCTAAAACTGCTCCAGAGTGTCCGTACAGTAGGCCCTGTCGAGCTCCTCCGTCCCTTGGCAGCCAGACGTGGCAGAATGTCCGGCGCCAGGCCCTCTCTCGCTGAATCCTTGAGAACCGGTAAAGGGCTGGGTTCCATATGTAGAGACCTAAGCGGATCCCATATGTGTAAAGGCCATGGTATAGCCTCAGAGCCTGTGTTTCTCCGGCAGACTTCTGCCATTTCGGTCACCGACGTGACGTCTCCGTTCCCTCCTTCAAGGAAGAAGGGTTTCATACGTAACCGAGACAATCTACAGTATTCTAAATTTCCTTTATTAACTCACGGGTTTTCATATGTTCATATTTTCATCTCACGTAAGGAACAAAACATTTTTTGCTGCTTAGTTTCAAATAAAAAGATGTTTTGGACTGTATGAAAGTTACAGTATGTTTTCATAATGCATTAAGCTCTTTTATTTAAAAAGATGAAGGAAAATTGGATTGCTCCTCGCTAGATCTCTTTAAATAATCATGGACCATGGTAAATTAAATGTGCAAAGCATAAATAAAACTCTATGGGAGGTATCTAAGGCAGCAGGCATAATGGATGACAAGTATGTTTAAAATTATATTACACGTCATGGAAAGTGTGTGCATCTCGGTGGGCTGCGTGTCATATTTTAATGTTTTATGACTACTACAGACTACACTTGTGCACTGCATGAGTTCCTTCATCTGATCTTTGAGGATATCTCCCTTAGAGTAAATTCATTAAAAGTGCATCTTGATAAAACTATCTGCACTTTTTTGGTGAGAATGAAATGCAATGACTCGAGTCAGAGAAGAATAAGACAAATTATCCTGTTTGAGAACACCTTAAGGCAGAAAAGCAGGGTCAAAAGTACACACGCTAAAAAAAATTATAAACAAACTCTGGGAGGCTGAGAAGCAAGCAGACAAAAAAACAGACAGTTTTAAATATTATGAATTCTGTGTGTTTATCTTGTTGTAGCAAACATTTTTGAACACATAAATGGTTTAGAATGATTTAGCCATTTTTTTGACAACTCCAAGTGAAAAACGCGACTATGCTGCTTCACAGATACATGTATGTCAGAAAAATATGTTAAAGCACCTTCTCGTTCTTTTTCTTTCTTTTTCTGACCAGGAAAATAAGAGGATCACTGTACAGAATACCATCATACATTCTTATATAATTTGTATACAAAAAAGTCATAGAAAGAATCATATACCAAGAGCAGTAACAAATTATAAACAATGGATGTTCAAATCTAGAATGTGGCTTAAATGTTTAGTTAAAAATAATACTACTAATAATAATGCAAAACAATATATATATAATAATAATAAATAAATAAAGAGCTGGGTGTCATGTTTGTTTGTCATGTCTTTCTGTATATAACTGTAACAGTAAAACATAATCAAAACAATATACAGTGACATTGTATCAGACAGATAAAAAAGGCAATGAGACTGTTAGCTTTGCACAAAATAGAAAAATAAAGATTTGTTTTTTTCAAAATAATAAAAATAGACATTGTATGTTATGATCCTTTGGGTAAAACGTCCTAGGAACACTAGATCTGTAGCACACACCATTTCACGCCATTTTGATGTCTGCAATGTAATTTAAAACTGGATTGACTGGAGATTTTTTACAAATAATAAGTCTAGATAATTTAAAAAATCATTATAACAAAATAATGCCTTATATTCAGGGACAAGATAAATGTAAGGTCACAGAAACCTGACCTTACAAAATCCAATTCTGATTTAATACCGCATCCTCACCCAAACTCTTGCCCACCTGCCTCTGGACCACCGTGTGCAAAATATTACTACTTTATATATTACTACTACTATATACTACTTTAAAATCCCAGTAAATTGTACTAAAATGCACTATAGATGTGTTCATAGGAAGTATCACCACATTTTTTAAATGTTAAAATCTGAGATAATGAATATACATGATTTATCCAGGTTTTTAACATTTTCTTTCATCATTTATTATTCATGTAACCAACACTTTTCACCTGAATCAACTTGCACTGCACTAATAGCAAGAGACTCCCCTTGGAGCAACCTGAGGTTAAGTGCCATCACTCAAGGGCACAATGTTGATAGAAGAGCTCAGTTTCTCCCCAGTTCATGATTCACCTCTGTGTGAAATCAAGCTTGCCACAACCATTTGGCACTAATAAATGTTTCTGCACAAAACTGTGATCCAGATCCTGTCCTAAATGTCTTTCACAACATACTGTCAAGCATAAAACATTGACCAACATTTCAGGCTAAAGTCTTGAGGGGCTTGTTGTGGAGAGTACAAACGCAAATCACCAACACTAACAAACTAATCTTACAGAGTGAATAGATCTATAATTAGAAAGTGATCACTGCCGGAGCAATTACCATAATAAAATATCAGAAAATCATAATACTTTATTATACTCTTGGGAAATGCTTGCAAAATATTGTTGGGCACCACGGTACAGTGATTGTGTAAGATGGTAAATGGTAATACCATCTAATCAATGATTCCCATATTCATATGCCATGGTACTTTAAAGAATACCATGGTGTCACAATGGTACCATGGCCAAACCATGTAGGTATATACTTTTTTGTATTTTTTAGTAAGGGTAGACCAAGTGGACATCGAACAGAGTCTCTTCTTGGTTGGATATGCAATGTATTGGTTGGGTATGTCATATGTAGTAAATATCCCTTTGCATAAATAATATGGACCTCAAACAGACTGACTAGTACTGTTCTGTACCAGTACTAAATGAAATTTCCAGCGATCTGATCAGACAACAGCTAGCTTTAAAACTCAGAAACTAATAACAAATGTGATAGATGCACCGATAAACTGAAAAAGAGGCACAAAATGTCATGAAACATCACGGACAATTAGCAGATTAAGTTTGCAGATTTGATTATGACAAAGAAATCTTCCTGAACTTTAGATTTGTATTTTTCAGTGTAAAATATGTATGACAGACTCTACTGTATTCTTCAGTTGTTCAGGAAAAATTCTGGGAGGGCAACATTAGAATTAACTTAAAGTCAAAATGACAACAAAAGAAAATAACCTACAAAAGTTCATTACATTTGCTTTTTTTTTTTTATTTCACCTGCTAAACTATGTAGTCTTGTCTCATGGGAAAGTTTGGTCCATTGTGATGCACATCCACTTAGCTGAAGAAAATCCTCTTGGCGTACTGCAATGCACAGTCGGATAAATTATCTCTTTTATTCCCCCTGCTTCTCTGAGATACTCCCACATCCCTTGTTCTTGGGTATTTATTCATATCTGCTTTAATGTTTGAAGGCAACTGAGATATCCTTTGTCCAGCTCTCAATAAACAGGACCAGCCCTGGCCTCGGCTGCTTGCCTAACTCATACACAAACCTTTGAATGTCTTTGTGATCAAATGATCAGAAGAACAATATTGACATGGAAAATCATGCACTACACAGTCATGGCCACTGCTGAGGTGTCTTTTCATTACAGCCATCCGAGTCCGTCTTGACGTCATATGATGCAGCAAGTCATATCCTTTTCATCTGATGAGGTCAGAGAATGTTTTTTTTTTTTGGTAGAGCTAATCTGATATCCCTATCAGACTGTACTCTCCATAACCCACTCAGAGCTATCAAATGTTGCCTTATCACCTTCCCCCTCGCTCTCATCGCACTGCAGGAGCTTGCCGTTGACTGAGAGACTCCTCTTAGTCCAAATGTTGCTGATGCGTCGTGGGTAGTTAAGGCACTGTGAAGCACCAAAGTCACCCATGTCGAACGAGTGGCTGCGCTTGGGTTTGTCCTCTGATGGCAGCATTACAAGCTTCCCAAGCTTGGAATCTCCCCGGCTTAGCAGAGGCTCCTTGTCAGTGGCCGGTCTCATGGCCATCACCATGGTCCCTGAGGAAGATGGTCCTCCCGGATCTCTTGCGGGAACCCTCAGGTCCAGAGAGGCAAATGCCCCAAGTAGGTTATCCAGGTTTGGTCGTGCCTTAGTTGACGACTGCTTCCACCTGTTGGGCAAGGTGTTAGAATCCACTTGTCGGTTGTAAGATTCAACTTTCTCACTTCCAAGGGAGTCAGCTGAGGAGGATGAAGAGGACGAGATGCTACTCTGCAAGGAGCCACACTTAAACTCCACCACTTCATCTCGCATCACCACTACAGTCTTTGGAGTCTGCGGTGTAGGAGCGCCGTTGTTAAGTCGCTGCGCGGCCTGTGGTCTTCCGTTGGTCTGGGAGTAGGTGTTGCTCACCGTCACGAACTTTGCAACCTGCAAGCCACTGTTCACTTTATAGCGTACCATGAGGATGACGATAAAGACCAACAAAGTGGCTACGATCACTCCCCCAATCACCAAGATCATGGTTCCTCCTAAAAACTGACTTTGCAGCGACTGGCAGCGGGGGTAGTCGCCACGTGTCTCGAACTGCACACAACCCACTATGTTCGTTGCAGTGAGTGTGGTGGCAGTGTCTTCCCAGATGGCCAACACGCATAGGTCATACTGCATCCCTGGCATCAGGTTGTTGACCAAGAAGGATTTGCTGATCGCCGGAATCATCCTGTGAACAAGACACAGACATTAACACTGACTCTCAAAGTTCAACAGAAGACTAATCATTAAATAGATGCAGTAGATTGAAACCACAGGCATATCACACTGAAGGTGGTTATTAAAATGCACATACTGATTGCTCATTGCTTTATTGTGGATACACATGATGCTCTGTGCTTTGGCAGAAAACAATCATTAATCCTTTTATTATGGTGAAAACTTAATTACTTGAAAAGCACTGATCATATCAACCTTGAAAATTCATTTAGATTAAATTATTTAGAAATTAGGCCTATTGTGCAGTCAATGGAGCCAGAGATACAAAGCAGTTGTTTTTGACTTACAGGAAGCAATGCGGGGATTACGTAAATATAATAATTTGAAAATATACTTGACGAACATGCACACTTCTTGTCGACATTGAATCATTAAAACAGGGAAAGCATTTTTTTTTCTGAATGGTAATTAAACAAGTAGTGTTTTGGAAAGTGGAATTAATAAATACATACATTATTTTAAGTTCCTGAATTGGTTAGAAGATAGATCTGGTTTATGTTAACATAAATATATTTCCTTAAGGTTATTTTATGTAGTACTTCAGCACTCAACCTCCTAAAAAACACCTTGAGTACACAGGGCATGTAATCACAAATTTAATTTTTTTTCTAACTGCATTAGCTCATCATTATCTAGAACATTCTTTTCACATACCTTGCTGTGGATGTAGACTGAGAATACTAATTAGAGTGCAAACATTGACCTAACTACCATGCTCTGAGAAGGTTACGTATTTGAAAAGAACCGATAGAAGTGTTTGAGGCTATTTTCAGAATCTGGGCAAATAGAAGACAAACTGTACACTTATGTGCAAATGGAGATATTCCATTATATATATATATATACATACACTGTATATGCAAATACATTATGCATAATACATACAATACATATAAAAAATAGGAGCCCAACAATGAAAATTCTGTCATCATTTACAGTGGGTATAGAAAATACCATTTTTTACCACTTGGAAAATACCAAGATTTCCGGGATGAAGTTGTGGACAGGCACAAGTCAGGAGATAACAATTTGAAAGGTTTTATCGATACCTAGAAGAGAAGTCTATTATTAACAAGTGGAAGGTATTTGGTACAACACAGACCCTCCCTTGATCAGGACATCGCTCCAAACTGGATCACAACAATATCACAAATTCTCCACAAATGTGGCTTTTATGGGAAGGTTGCAAGAAAAAGCCACTCCTCAAGAAAGGCCACGAGCTTTCCTGGAGCATTTTTTTAAGTCCTTGGTAATGTGACTGAAGCAAACAATGAAATCTAGGTGGCACGGCACTGTAAAAAGATTTCCGGGATGAAGTTGTGGACAGGCACAAGTCAGGAGATAACAATTTGAAAGGTTTTATCGATACCTAGAAGAGAAGTCTATTATTAACAAGTGGAAGGTATTTGGTACAACACAGACCCTCCCTTGATCAGGACATCGCTCCAAACTGGATGAAAGAGCCGGGAGAAAACTGGTCAGAGAGGCGACCAAGAGGCCTACAGCAAATCTGAAGCAGCTGCAGGAATTTATGACAAAGATATCTGCTGCCCTCTGCCAGAAAGTTGTCAATGGGAAGAGGGTTTGCCTTCCAACATAACAATGACCCAAAGCACACAGCAAAACTGAGCACACAGTGGTTGAAGTAGAAAAAGGTGAATGTCCTTGCATGACCTAATCAGAGTCCAGACTTAAACCCCATTGAAAATCAGTGGAATGACTTGAAGACTGCAGTCCACAAACAATCACCATCAAATTTAAAGAGTTCATTTGCAAAAACAGATAACTCCGTTTTTAACAATTCTCAGAAATCCTGTTTTTTCATTGTGCATTCAAATTAATCTCAATCAAACTGCAGTTGGGTTATTTTGATTAGGTTAATAAAAATAAAAAATACAGCTAACTAACAATAAAATACAATAAAAAATGATTACATAATAAAAAACATGATTTTTGAAAATGTGAGCAATTTGAAAAAGTATCTGTTTTTGCAAATAGACTCTTCATTTACTATCTTCAGTGTTAACCTATACAAGACTACCTTTACAAGACTGAATTGAGTTACAAAATACATAATTTATCTCGAAATCCAATCTAATGATAATTTCCACAACTATTTAGAGGGAAACTAAAGGGCAGGTGGGAAGAACATGCCTAATTAGTGTGTAGTTGGGTGGTTTAAATGAAAATAAAATTGAATATTTACCTATAAATCAGGACATCATCCTCTGAACAGTTGTATTGGAGCTGGTACATTTTGATTTTAGGTGACACTTTGCTTACTGTCCACTTGATCAGAGCAGAGACTGCGGTGACCTCTGACACTGACACTACCTGTTCTGGTTGGGCTTTTGTCTCCCCTTTACTGGTTTTAGTGGAGCTGGTGATGTCAGATAGCCTGGACTTGGGCTGAGATGTGCGGTTAGTTCCATTGCTTAGGTGGGGGAGCTGGATGATGGAGAGCTCAATTGAGGCTGTTGATTCTCCAGCTGCATTTGCAGCAATGCAAGTAAATGTCCCATAATCCTTAGAGGTGGTGACCATAATGTCTAAAGTACCATTTTCATACACTGTAGCCCTGGATGAGTTACTAATTAGTCGGTCATCTGGAGCAACCCAGTGTATGAGAGGCATAGGGTCACCCACAGCCTTGCAGCGTAAACTGGCCGTCTGTCCCTCCAGGACCAAAAGCTTATGTGTATGTTGGATAATTAACGGTGGTTCACAGACAAACTCTTCCTCTCGCACATACCAGAAGTAGCGACCCTTCAGACTAGGAGGGGAGGCACATGTTTCCATATCGTCCTCCCGTTCTAAACGGCGCAACCAAAGAATCTCACAGTTACAGTGAAGAGGATTCCCACCAAAGCTGAGAGACAAGACCGGGGCAAATGGTGTACTAAAAACGCTGCTGCTCTGTGACCGAGCAAAGATAGGATCTGGCGGAAGCTTCTGGAGACGGTTTGATGTAAGATCCAGCCTCGCCAGCTTTTCAAGATCAGTAAAAGTGCCTTCAGTGATGTGGCTGATGAGGTTGTGGTCCAGACTCAGCTGGTGTAGGTTGAGCATTTTGCGAATGGCCTCCCAGGGTATGCCTCGCAGGTTGTTGTAGGAGAGGTCTAGGTCCTCCAAGGTGAGCAGCATGTCATCGAAAGCTTCTTTGGAGATACGAGTCAGTTGGTTGTTGTTTAGGATGAGGTGTTGCAAGTTCACTAAGCCTCGCAGGGCATCTGGGCCCAACTCTGTCAACCGGTTACTGTCCAGATGCAGCGATCGCAGGGTTTCAAGATCCACGAAGGAGAAGGGCTGGATGAAGCTGATGGTGTTTCGTGACAGTGTGAGGTCCACAAGGCCTGTCATGTTGGTGAAGTCCTGCTGGGTAATTTTGATAATGTAGTTTCCCCCCAGGCGTAATTCCACGGTTCTTCTGTCAATGTCAGTGGGCACGAACAGCAGACCTTTGGATGGGCACAGTGTGCCCAAGGATTCTGACAGATTCTGACAGACACAATATTTAGGGCAGGCGGTGGTGATCATCACTGTGCTTCCCAGGATAAGGAGGCTGCAGAGCACTTTGGCCATGGTAAATCACAAGCAGGGACCTGGAAAGACAACAGGAAAAACAATGGTCAGTCCTTTCCGGCCATACAAACAACAATTTAAGGAGGTATAAAATATGTTTAAAGCAAGAGTGTTTGATGCTATGTCTGTCTATAAATTCCGCAGCAAGCTCCATATCTCTGACACAGAGAGAATGGATAACTGCGCTTGCCCGCAGACGACAGCCCATAATTTCTGTAGACATGTGTATCATCAATTTCAGATATACTCTAAACTTAAATCAATTTTAATCAGCGCTCTGCCAGACTGATTCTCTAATGGTAGGGCAGGGTTGGTGGAACTGTTTTAGGTGCCTATGAGAAGGAGAAGGGGTGATTTTCATTTCCAGGTGAGAATTAAAGGATAATAATTCTTCCAGCTGGAAGCACTCATACAATAAATCATCATTGCCTCATCGATATCTTAAAATTATATATTCTAAGATTCCTATAAACCCCAGTACACAGAGTTCTGGATTCCAAAATTCTGAGCAACAGCTTATGAGTTTTCAAGCATATCTTGTTTGCTAGCCTTAAGTTTATTGCTTATATCAATATCGCTCCGAGGTGAAAGCATGCAGATATGAGTATTTGTCAAGACAGGGAGTTGGGTGACTGACACTAAAAACTAGACTGCAACTCATCTTAGACAATCAGCAAGATTTTTACGGAGCATAATATTGTGATTACTCTAACCATGTAATCAAAACTGTCTGCTATAAAATAAAATAAAAATGTCGCACACAGGGGATGGATATTTCATTGGCAATTTGATTGACTTGCAATCAGCTTTTGGTAATGCCAGATATTTATGCCAGGGCTGCATTTTGCTAGAAAGCAAATAGCAGAATTACCATAACATTGTCAAGCAATTTTCCCTCTAAGCTACTACAAAAACCCAGAAGACTACTAGCACATTAACAAATGATGACTTCTTGTTCTAAAGTCTGGAGAAATGCAATTTTTAAAACTCTACAAAATGACTATGTTGAAAGAACCAAGGAGGAAATTTTCACGTAAACTGAAAATGTGATACGCCTAATTTTTTAGTCTAAAATAATTTCACGCTGAAGCAGACAATGAACATTGTGATGTTTTCTGAGCAAGAACATATTTTCTTTATTTCCCTTCTGAGCATATTCCACAACTATAACTAATTCTCATCATTTCATTCTCAGGAAATCAGACTTTTACAATTTTATGAAAGAGCAACAATGTGTCAGAGCTGTGTGTTGATAACAACACATACAATCTGCCATGCTCATGTCCTAAACTAATTTCCCCTTTTGCTCCCTCCAATTTCCTCTCTATTGCCATTTTCCTGTACAATAAAGTAAAAAAATACCATACATAAACAACAGAAGAATTATGCATAAGAATGCAAAGTACAAAAATCCCAAAATGCATATTGGTCTAGCATGTGTAAACAGTGCAGAAGAACACCAACTTTATCTTAATAAAAAAGGAGGAAGAATGTTTAACCATAGGCATTTGCAACATTTCATTAGTGCAGTACGTTGGTTGGAATTTATGACCACCCCATGTTCGATCAACTGAAATATACCCTATGCAGAATAAAACCTCATTTCAATGTTCATTCAGGACTCACACTGCATAGCATCGTGTAAAGTTATAAGAAGTGTGCTTGGGACAAGGGGATATTTGTCATTTTTGACAGCTGAAACCTGATTAGGCTGAATACAGCAGAAGCTTGCCCTTTAGAAGACCTGTATTTCTGAGGTAAGTTTCCTGCATTACAAATTCTCTCATAACTGCTTGTCAAGCCTCATCTTTATTCATTCCTTTTGTGGCCTGCTAATGGCGCAGCCATCAAACACATATATAACAATTGCTGAGGAACTCAACCTTCAACAGCATTGCACTGCATTTCATCCAAATCAGACGGAAAACGATGGACTGGCGGAGTGGAAAGGAATTTGGTTCACTTTATCAAATGAGCCAAACATCTCAGCTCATTTGTTGGAGAGAGTGTTTAAATGAGCTTAGCCTGGTCATTGCTAACTTCAAGAAAATCAACAAAAAGAGATCTAAGGGTTGTGCAAAATCATAGAGCTTTCTTTTCTGTCAGTTCAGCAGACATTAAGGCCTAAGAATCATAGCTTTAGTAAATGAAAGAGTGTAAGAGCACATCAAAAAGTCTTTTATCAATCGAAGGAGAAGGTGCCCATGAAACAGCAGGATGTGAAAAACTACAGAGACGGCTAAAAATCCAAAGGCGAGATAAAAGCTTAGGCTTCGCAATCATAAAGTGCTAAAGCGCAAGATGAAGGTAGAGCTGCCATGATATGGAGGGCCATTTACTTGAGATCCAGGGGAGAACTCCCCAGTGCAGATGCCTGATTGGACATGGGCTAACCATTATGACAGTTGGAAGTCAGTTTGACAGCGCTGCTCTGAAATCCTCATGACATCTAACTGCATGATAGATTCTGCACCTGGCATACTATTTGTGCAATGGACTAAGATTTTATTTTTATTTTTTTCTTAACAGCACACAGCCATCTTCTACTTTATCATACCTTTTAAATAATAGCAATGTACCAATGGAGTTTCCTATTATTAATTAATTAATTAATTAATGTATTTATTATTTTTCTTTTATTATTAATAAGCAAACAAAAAAAATGTGTCTTGTACATAGGACATTTAAAGGTGCAATAGGTGATTGTCTTCAGAAACATTTTTTGTTATGCTGGTTGAAAGTGTCTTCACATCCCGATAGCAATCATTAAGTTAAGTGGTCTAAATGTATTTATCTGTATTTATATATTCTGTGGAAGGCGTAGGACCAATAAATGTCCATCCAATCAAAACGCTCGGTCCGAGCGTTTTAATTGGCTTTCCTACCTGCCTGTCAACATATGTATTAGCATACCTCTGCGCACCCAATTTGCGCAGACAGGATATGTCATCAGAGCGTTCATGCACGCTGTGCAGACAGAGCGAGGATGGCAGGCAAACATCAACAACCTGATCTTCCTTCCTGGTATTGTAGTACTTTTAAAGTTTTCTCACCGGTGAATGATGCTGCGTTCATGCCATATTGTAATTACAGTAATTTCAAGATGACAGCACATTGGTCGTGGTACAAGTCGTAGCTCTCAGAAAACTCCCAGTTCACAAGTTGTAATTACGAGTTCTACGAGGACGTGAATGCTTTTTACAAGTTGGAATCTCGTAATTACGGGAATTTCGATATGGCGTGAACGCACCTTGACTCATGATGTAGGCCAGCGGTTCCCAATTCCAGTCCTCGCCGCACCCCGCTCTGCATATTTTGCATGTCTCGCTTAGTTAACACACCTGATTCAGATAACCAGCTCGTTAGAAGAGAGCTACGTGCATGAACTGTGTTCCGATCGATATGATCCTTACACAGTGTTCATTGCTCCCTACTCCCTGAGCAGGCGAAATCCGTTGAAGTTTACATCACTTCGGAACATTCATTCACGGATTTGC